ATATCAAACTGTATCTGGGTGACAGCAATAATGAGTTGTATCCTCGTATCTCTTTGTCTATCTCTACTTTCTGTTGTTCTACAGAAAGCACGTGTTAGTTCAACGACAGCAAGGTCATCTTCCACTCTTCACCCAGGCAACCTAGGCAGAGGCTAGACTGACTGGTCTTCAGAGCCTAAGGCGTCCACTGTTACTGTGAATGGCCGGCTGGAGCTTGGTTCGTGGGACAGATGGGAGCAGGCTCTCCTGCGGAGGTTATGACAGAAACATCTGCTAGGTAAGCTGAGTCCAGTTATTCCACAACAATGGTGCTGAGCTTCAGGTGGAGTCAGAAACCCAGAGAGAGCCCTCGGTGCGGAACGAGAGGAGGGACATGAACATGGGCCCCCGCCTTAGAGATCTGAAGCCTCTCCCAAAGGAACAATGGCTTCCTGCAGATGTTTGGCACCCCCTCCCACTGCTGGTCTTTATAGCTATGAATATAAAGCCTTCATAACTGAAAGTAAAGGCATGCCGCAGAAAAGTTGGAAAGGTGTGGTAGGTATGGAGAAGGCTGTTGTGTGCCACTGTGTAGGAAGACTTCACACAGAGGGCTCCCCACAGGAGCGTAACTTCTGCTTCCACCAGAAACTCTAGGCACCAGCTTCACATTTTAAATAAAAGAATTTCTGTAGAACGTGGGAAGTAATAAAAACAGAAACCCCGCCCAGCAACACAAGGAGAGATTAGAACGTAGGCCTGCGGTCCTCTTTGGCTGTGGCCCGTGTAACCTCCTCTACCGTCACTCACCCCATTCTTGGAAAATTATCTCACGTCAAAGGCTAAAAAGGCTTCATTTGTTTTTGAGGTCTGCCTCTCCAAAGTTGTGTTGTCTATGAATGTGGGTGTGAAGGGTTAAGCGCATTCTCTTCCCTTTCTACTGTGAGCGGGTTTTGGTGTTGTTTGTGTGTTTGTTTGTTTTGTTTTTTGAAACAGGGTGTTACTCTCTAGCCCAGGCTGGCCTTGAGCTCCTGCCTCAGTCTCATGCCTCCTCGGTCTTCTGAGTGCTGGAATTCAAGGATTCGCCTTTCGGGTGAGCTGTCTTCTGCAGGGTGGTGACAGCTCTGTCTGCCCAGGGTGGGGGTGCAACAGCGTACACAGAGGGGAGCTGTGTGGCCCTCGGGAGGCCTGGCTGACAGGCAGGTGTGCTGTGCACACGTGGCTGGGAAGAGGGCCCTCCTGTGTCTATCCTTTCCGGCCAATTTCTGTCCCACAGAGCAATGGCTGTCCTGATTTGTGGCATTACAGCAGTCTGGTTTATTCTAGAACATCCTCTAAATGACACTCTAGAGTATGAGTTTGTTCGATCCGGCTTTCTTCACTCAACATAAGGCCACCGAGACTGAACCATGCTGTATCATGGCTCTGGGACACACCCACATTCTCTCTCTCTCTCTCTCCAGTAGTCACTGTGTGGGTCTACTGTATTTTGTTTACTGGCTTTCCTGTTGATGGACATCTGGGTTGTTTCCACTTTGGTCTGTTGTTAGGAAGAAGGCTCCTGTGCAGGGCTTTGCACAGTCTTGTTTTATGGACATGTTTCCATTCCTTTCAGGGAAACACCTACAAGTGGGAACGCTGTCACTCAGGAAGTCCATGATTCACCTTACAGGAAGTTCAGGAGTTTGTGCAAACACAGCAGTGTGTGAGCACTCCAGTTGCTCCTTATTCTTGTGGTGGCTGGCATTTTGTCACTCCAGTGGCTCCCTGGAGCCATGACATCATTCACAGAGTGGGACTACTCTCACTACGGTCACCGCCCCTGGGGATAAAGAAGGGGAAGCCCCAGGAGAGAGGGAAGCTGGCTTTTTTGTATGGGTGTGGTGACTCATGCCTACTGTGAATCCCAGTTCTCAGGAGGCTGAGGCAGGAGGTCTGCTTTGAGTTCTAGGTCAGCGGGGGCTACATAGGGATTTCCAGGCTGGGTGGAATACCTAAGACTGTGTCTCAGAAAACCAGAAAATAAACAAGCAAGCAACAAATAAACAAGCAAATGCCGCTGGAAGAGAAAACCCTGACACAAACAAGGCCCTCTTCCCCC